TTTACTAAGGTCCCACAATCTATTTGTCACGTAGATATACAAGGTACAAGTTCATGTTTCCATAAGGTTCTGATAATGCATGGTTTATACAGCAGTGATCCACAGCAGGAACGGGACAGCACCTCACATTCCCACCATCACACCAATCCTTATTCACCATAAAGCACACGCCTCCTCTCCTTCTCTTGCCACAGCCCTCTGCTCTGTCAGATTGCCACATAGAAAAAGAGTCACGTAGTTGAATGGCTGCTGTCCAGGAGGTTGTCCATTTTATTTTACAACGCCTGTACAACAGCTAGCAGGATGCTAATTCAACCATGCCCATCCTCTCCATCTTTCCTTGATGTTTACGTTTGACTACATTTGAAATCTTTAATCTGTCCAGCTAGCAGATGAAGCAGGAGGAGAGTTTACAAACTGGTGAGCTGATTCTTACATCCTGATGAGTGACTTGCAGCTGTATGCCACCACTGTCTTACACCAACCACGAAAAGCCACACAAAAACTTGCAAAATAGACATAAGAGCCTAAATTTAGCTCAAATTTAGTGACAGAGAGATATCGTCATAAACATAAACACGATTCTTGTGTTGGGGATATTGGCCGTAATGGTGTCTGCCCTCTCTCAAATATAATGGAACTAGATGACGCTCAGCTTGTGGTGTTCAAAGCAACGAAAGAGTACCTTTAAAAAACTCAGCAGCACTGTGTCTCTCCAGCAATCATGACCCGGTTCGACCTTGTTGAGCAGTTTCATGTAGGAACTATTTCCCTTCTAATGAATTTCACCTGCCAATTGTATTACTGCGCAGAGAAGCGTGCATCTACTCGTGGATGAGAGGTTGTGCTTATGACAGAACAAGATGTTAAAATTAATGACGTCCTCCTCAGCTGAGCTAACATTAGCTAGCTCAGTTTCATGTAGGCTTCCTTTTGCGCTGTGATGCAGTTGGGGGACAAGTTTGGTAGGAAAACAGTTCCTTCACAACAAGGTCTATGGATTATCCTGAGTAACTGAGTCTGGAAACAGTCACGACTGTTGAGTTCATCAAATGTATTTTTTGGCACTTTGAGCACCACAAGCCAAGTGTCATCTAGTTCCATTAAACTGGAGAGAGGGCAGACATCTCTACGGGCGATATCTCCAGCACTCTGCAACTCACACCAAAATAATCTAGACTGATAAACAGCACTACAGGTAAGGGGGGAAATATGTACTTTTTAATTGTGGGGTGAATTGTCCCTTTAACTTCTGGCTGTTACAAATTGCATTAAGTTCTCATGAGGTGCATTTGTACACTTTGTGAAAGGATGGCATTAAGATTTGTTTTGATAATGATCAACAATTTCATCTGCTGTCTCACTTTAATCCGTGCACTGTAGAAACCATAATTCATTTTGAACAGCATTCATCAAGTGTTAAAGATGTGAGCTCCACCATGGATGATGAGTTGTTTCTGTCCAATTATGCTCATTTGCAGGAGGAGGCCACATCAGGACACACAAACATCACAGAAATGAAGGTGCATCATAGCTAACACTTAATAAAATCATGAAGATATACAGTTATGAAACAACATGCGTCATTGTTTGATGTATGTACGATTATCACATTCCCTAATGACTAATTAAGATAGGAGCACAGAGCATGGCTCAAGTTATCAACTTAAAGAGATTATTGTTACAGAGCCTTCATTGTTTTGATACTGGAGAAACCTGCCTGGGGATATTCAGCGACTCTGTGTTTCATGTTTGCTGTTTTTACGTTTACTATATTTCTACATTTCCTCGTGTTCTAGTGGATGTTTCTGTGAAGCACTATGCCTTGAAAATATGACATTACCTTTACACAAGGGCCTTTTTAGGATGATTTTTTGAAAGACTTAAGATTATTTTCACTGTATTATTTGATTATTTATGTAATTTGTGTGTTTATTTATGTAATTTTAAACTATATTTCTTTATATATTCTAGAGATGCATTATGACCATGTATCAGCTGATATTGACTTTAAATCAGAATCAGCCAACTTGCTTTTTCTTAATTTAAACAATCAATAATTATTCCATACATTCCATACACAAGTATTGTATTTCGAGTCTCCATCAGCTGGTGGGCCATCATGATAAGAGTATGCATGTATAATAAGATGTAAAGTCCACTACAGAAGAGACTTGATGATCACTAAAATTAGGTGGGGAAGAAAGTGGATATGGATATCGGTATTGGTTATCAGCCAAATGAGTTATGTATCAGGTAGTCTCTATATACAGACTCTACATTCAGTGAATGTAGAGTCTGTAGGCAAACCCCGGAGATCTTGCCTCCGGAAGAAGAGCGGAAGAGCCCTGGTCTCCGGCTGTAGGCTGTTGTAGTCCGCGTGATATTGACCAATCACGTTTGAGCCGGCTGCAGTTGTTGCCAGGTTAAACGGTCCGTGCGGTGAACTAACGAGGCGGAACATAATTGGCGTCACTGCAAACTGTGAATCCATCGCAGTGGTTCAGCATATTTACTTATATATAAACGGAAGTCGGAAACAGAAATTCGCCTCCTCCGCCCAAATCAAACCGGAATGCCAAAAAATTGGGGGTCTGCCCCCAGAGGCTGTATTGCCGTCTGCTGGAAGTCAGACGCCGAATACAGCCCATGGGTTCCGAGAATGTGTATCAGGATATTGGGAAAAGATCCAATAATATTTGTAATTTGTAATAATATTAAAAAAGTATTCAAAGTGGAATAATAGCACAAAGTCCTCATGAATCGTCACATGTTTGATCCCTACAAGAGCCACTAGATAACCATCACGCACAACAGCTCTTTCTCAAACTTTCCTTCTGTTTTGACACAGTTAATCGTTTTAAAAGCAGCAAATTATAAAACCAGATTTTATCTGCTCAGTACAAGGAAAATTGTTTCTAACCCTGCTGATGATGCAAACACTGAATACACCCAACACCATTCACACACAATCTGAGCTATCTTTACTGGCATTCTTTTCATCATTCCCACTTCAGATGACCACAGATAAAACAAGACCTTCCCTCTCTTGTTTACAAGCTGGCGTGTCATGGGGGCATTGAGCTTACATCACCCATTCTGCAAATTTTACTAGCTGGAAATTACATAGCTGGAAAAACGTTTACAAGGTTTTCATAGGAAAAAAAAAACATGTTCTAAATGCGGAGAGGAAATGTGGGGAGTCATGTGCTTAAAATAGTTCAGTGTAGACGCAAGAATGGACCCAAACACAGAGGAGAGGTGGGTGGATAGAGAGAGAAAAGCAGCTGGGAGAGAAAGCAAGACATGAGGAACATGTAAGAAACGTGGGCAGAGACGTGTAAACATCATGAAACAATCCACATATTAAAGATGCAAGAATGAATAATGAAAGAGGGAGATGGGGACAAAGAGAGATAAAGAAGAAGAACTGAAGAAAGAACTGGAAGAGAGACAGAAAGGTTTTACAAAGTACAAAGAAAAGATGAAGCAGTGCCAGATTACTGGGCAAATAGTGCTCCCCTCTGCCCACCTCAGAGTTTAAAAGGTAACTTTGATATTCAAACTGGACCCTATTTTCCCATCTTTTTGTGTTTAAGTAACTACTGGAGACAACAAATTTTGAAAGTGGACCAGTACTGAGTGAAAGCCCTACAACCCGCAGCAGCAAAACAGGCTGCAATGTAACGTTAATAGGCAACTGCACACCATTTATGTCCATTAAAAGTGTTTGTTTTTGCCACTGACAGGCTCAGATTGTTACTGTAAATCTCGGACAACATAATGGCAAGGATCCCTACAGAGAAAGACCTTTTGTGAAAGAGTAATATCCTGTTTGTGTTACCAGAAACAAAAAAAAAATCACAATCACCAAACCAACCAGACTCCATTTAAATAAATTTTTATCATCGTATAACACATTTCATTCACCTTCAATAATGACCCAGGTACCTTTAACAGATCACTTAACTTCACTTATAGAGCTGAAATACACCACACTGGAGATCAAGCAGAAGTCAAAATTATGAGTCAAAATTCCTGCATCTGTCACACACACTGTGAACATACTAGTCATGCCATAAATGCAATGAAAAGAGTAAGATAAGACCCTCTGGGACCAAACTTTCTGTCAATCACCAAAACATATAAAGCAGTTTCAGGATTTCTCATCGAGTAAGAGCAGTTATTACTGGATGACTAATTTTGAGCTTTATAAAACTGGAGATCAAACAGATATTCTTATAGATAAGTTGACAAAGTTGAAAACCAGCTATTGAGAACTGATAAAATGCCTTTATGTTACAAGCAGTGAGAACAGGATCAAATGACAAAGCTGGCGCATCACAGCTTTGCTTCAAACATTCAGAAACGCCCTGGGAGACAGCGACTTAATGAGCGAGAAGCTTTTATTATCTCCTCCACCCTCACGCTTTCTCCCTCCGGATGGCTCTTTGCAATATGACTCATGTCTCTGTGAGAGCAGGGGTTCAGTTTCGGCAGATTAAACAGAGCATGACCTCGAAAAAAGTGACAAAAATGAAACAGGACAGAGCCAGCAGCGAGCCGAGATGGAGTCATCAAACTGCTCTCCTGAGTGAGACGCATAACTAAGGCTTAATAGTTATTATGTTGCCACAGTAACAAAGATAAAACACTGAAATCAAGACATGAGGCTTTTCTTTTTACAGTTGCATGACCTCAGACTTCTCTCAAGGCGAGCAGAAACCAGAAACAATGAGCCTTCACTCAGTTTAGCCTGAATGCCTGTTGAAGTAAATCATCAAAATAAAAAAGCACCACAGTTGCTATAATAACCCAAAACTGAGACCAAGCTTAGGTATTCAAAGCACACAAAAACACCTAATCTGATCTTTCACATACCTGTAAAAACAATACAGGAACTACAAAACAAATCTTAAAGTATTAACCCACCAAACCATGATAAAAAACAGTGAGAAACACTGCACTGTAATCTTTACTAGAGGAAGAAAGAGACTGACCCTGCAGCAGCATGTGGACATTATCGATGTCCAGGGGGATGGACCCCCTCTCCACCACATCATCTCTGTAGTAGAAGTCTGACGACATACTTTCTCATCCACAGCCTCCGGGCAGCATGGCACCGCTCTGAAACAAAGAGAAACAGTCAGTGTTAGTGCCGTACAGTGTGGCTTATAAAGTGAAGCATGAAACTATCTCTCATTAAAGGTTTGATGGCACTGTGTTGAAATTTCTGGCCATTAAAACTGACTTTCTGTCCAAAATTTTCCAGGGCTGGTACCTGCGGTTATTCCACAGGCTAGTTAATAACATGTTGGGCAGGAAATCCAAAGTGTGGGATCATTTTGAGAAGGTGAAGGATGAACCCAAGGTGATATGTAAACTCATCTTCATTGGTCGACTACAAACATGACGTATCATCTGAAACATGGAAGTAGCTACATGCCCATTAGCCCACAGCGTCATAAACAGGTGGCTCGCTCAGTGTGTGACGTGCACTTGTAGATAAAATATAGGCCTATATTAATGAAGGTTCATTAGAACGGTTTTGTATTTCTCTGTAATGTAGCACAGTGTTAACAATGTTACTGATACTATTCTTTCTCACACCTTCAACTCAAACCACCAAAATATACAGTGGTGGAAAAAAGTTTTCGGACACCCTTAAAATTTTACACAATCTCAAATATTATCATGAAATATCTGTGGAAAAATCTTTTTTGTGTTTCAAAAGGTGTGGCTGCATTAGACAGATACAAACAAATACAAATTATATTTTTTTGTTTATTGTTTACAAGAAAAACTAACAAAACTAAATTCTTGACAGTTTCAATATGTCAGTTCTCAACATTGTCGGTATCAAAGTCAACAAATAACAGAGAATGTGTTCGAAACTGAACAAAAAATGAATAAACCATCACATCATCAAATTAATATTTAGTAGTCCTGCCACTGGCACGTAGTAGAGCTCTAATCCTGGCTGGCATGTTCCCCACGAGCCTTTCACACTGTTGAGGGGTATCTTGTCCCATTCTTCTTGAATTACTGCTTTTAATTCTTCTAAATTCTTTGGTTTATGCTTTGAAACAGACCTTTTGATAATCCACCACAGATTTTCAATGGGGCTCATGTCCGGGGATTGAGCTGGCCACTCTAAGACCTGGATACTGTGCTCCTGCAGCCAAGTTCTACTGGCCTTGGATGTGTGGCAAGGGGCATTATCTTGTTGAAACATCCAGTTTTTACCTCGACGGAACAGTGCACGCGCAGAAGGGAGCATGTGGGTTTCGAGAATGGTACAATACTTGGTAGAGTTCAATGTGCCATCACAGACAGTGAGATGACCAACACCAGCAGCACTCATGCATCCCCAAACCATGATACTGCCTCCACCATGCTTGACAGTAGGTACTGTACATGCTGGAGATAATGCTTCGCTGGCCTTCTGCGTACCCTCACATTAGTAGGAGGAAGATAAAGCTGGAAACTGGACTCATCTGACCACAAAATCTTCTTCCAATTCCTGGCTGTCCAGTTCTGGTGTGCCTGGGCCCAACGACGCCAGGCTAACCTCTGTCTCTCATTGATCAGGGGCTTCTTGATAGCCTTGTAGGACCTTAACCCATGATCTAAAAGTCGGCCATGTACAGTGTGGGTGGAACACTGGACACCAGTTTGGTTTGACCACTGCTGCTGAAGCTCCTGTGATGTCATTCGGCGGTTTTACCTGCACATGCGGATCAGGATGTGGCCATTTCTTGCTGAAGAAACCCTTGGACGCCCAGATCTTGGTTTGTCTTCCAAGCTGTTGGTTCGTCTGTATTTCTGCAGAGTGTATCCAACTGCTGAAGGACTGCATCTGCACTTCCTGGCTATCTGGCGGCAGCTGTACCCTTCCTGGCTGAGAATCTTTATCTTCAGGCGTGTTTCCTGCGTTAGGTTCCTTGTTGTAGCCATTTTTGTGTCTGAAGAACTTTCAAATGTGCTGGCTTTATGTAGACACGAAGCTTGGCAACAAAAATTGTGTCTTTTAATAAAAAGAACGACCTTCATCACTGATACCAAAATGACCCAATACTCAAAATTTCTTATGTATTTTTATGGAACCAATAAATTTTAAGTTTTTAATGGCTTTTTTAGGATTTATTTAGTATTTTGACTGTGACTGTTCTAAAAGAAATTGCACTTGAAGACCTAAGAGTGATTCTTAATGCAATATTTCACAAATGCATGGGGTGTCCGAAAACTTTTTTCCACCACTGTATCATTTAATCATTACATTCATATCATAAACATGCAGGAGACTGGTCGACTAACGGCCCTAAATGACGACTATTGGTCGACTAGGAAAACAGACAACCATTCAGGCCCACATTTACACCTACGGCCAATGGAAAGCCACCAATTAACCTGCATGTCTTTGGACTGTGGGAGGAAGCCGGAGTTCCCAGAGAAGACCCATAATTTTCTGTGCCAGGCATTTTGATAAATTAAACTGCTTTTGATAAAAAAAAATCTTTGTCTTCAAGTGCTCTGCAAGGCAACAAAAGGATCTAGACCACAACCACAGTCAACAAACACAGATGGACAAAGGAAACAGCCCAACAATTTCAGAGACCTTGAGTTTGGCAGTTGCATCATTCAAAGACACAGAAAGCCACGTATCTCCACAAAGACCTTTCAACAAGCCAGCAGAAACACTTTTATAATACAGTCGGGGGGAGTCTATCATCTTTCATAGAGCAATGAAACACTGTTCTGTCAGTTTACATTGATTGCTGGATGAAGGGTGCCGGGTGTTGGGCTGTGTTTTGTCTTGTTCAGTCTGGCCCTAGGATACAAAAAAGTGAACTGAGAAAAATGTGTGACATTTAGACAAGTTTCCAAATACGCCTGCCGAAACAAATCACACCGTGATAATAGAGAGGGGTCTTTGGTTTGTCCAAAATGTTTTTTGACAGTTTAGGAGAACAAACAGGTGAGTGAGCCTAAAATAAAAGAGTGAAATAGCACTACGCCTCACGAAAATGTCAGAGCAAATGTCAGACCAGGTCAAATAGTAGCTGTTGGTTTGTTTTAACCTCCCTGTACTGCCGGAGGCGGAGGGGGTCTCAGTCAAATGATAAAATCAAACAGTACTGTGTTTTATCAACTTCCTAATGCCTCAATCCCTGTTGCATCTAAAGCTTGGTATACACTGCGGATCTGGTCTGTCCCAGACAAAAGACCTGAAAGAAACGTGGCACTCAAACAGCTGTCCTACGTCTCACAGTGAGAGAGGTTCAAGGATGGCCGTTGTCATGGTCTTGTGATCAAAGACAGCCTGGGATAAAATTCTGACAGTGTCACAAATCTGGTATGACCATCTCACAGTGTGACTGCTGTTACCAGCTACATCTACTAACCAACCAATAGAAAAGCAGCATAAACCCAAACAAACAGACAGACAGCAGCTGGCCATGGAGGCAAAACACGCTAAAGAAATGTGTGAGATTCCAGCAAAGAGGAAAACCTTGTTGAGTTGTGGCAGCAGAAGCCTTGCCTGTATGATGTGTCCTCCAGCTCTTACTGTACCATGATCGGGTAAAGAAGGACGAAACATGGAGGGAAAAAGCGGCAGTGTTGCAGCTGCCAGTTGAGCAACCTAGCAGCTAGCAAACACACACAGACACACCACAGTAAATAGTGCCCACAAAACTCTAGGTTAATTGATAATGGGACCCTCTATATTGTGCTTCACAGTTAGAGAAATAATAACCTGTATAGATAAAATCACATCATTAAAATCTATATATGACATGTATGCCATCTACAATATGGTCAAACCTTCAACCTAACAGACACTGGCATATTTGTCTATCAAGATATTCTGCTAAGCATAACCTCATTGACAGGGGTAATGACAAAATTTCACACAACAGAACAACACGACAGCCTCAATGTTTCAGCTTGTCTGCACACTTTATGATTTAAGACACTGCAGGCACATTTTCAGCCTTTCAATTTCAGACTCAGTCCACATTGCTCACACACAATATGTGTAAAGAAAGGCTGCTGCAGAACCTGACGTGCCTTTTGGCTGAAGAACTGCCAGTAACACATATAAAGTGATCGTAAGACTCCTGCCTGGATGATACGGTGCCAAGAGTTCATAAATATCGGCTTTATTGCAGAAAACCTGATGAATGCTCAGCAAAACTATGAATTTGATTAAAAAGAGGAGAGGCTTTCTTTAACTTGATAGATGCCAACTTATTAATGTCAATATACAGTTTTTCTTACATTCGCAAAACCCTTCAAGCTCATCAATTAGACCTTTGTAAAGTCAGCAAATGATGGCCTGGCTGTGATGCCTTCCTATGACGCATTCTGTGTAGCTGGCTACAAGCAGGGGTGAGATGATACTAGGGCTGCATTATATGCCAAAAAAAATTATATTGCAATTATTTTGACAGATGTTGTGATTGCGATATGAGTCGTGATTTTATGATTTCAGGAATGGTCATTTTTGCATTTCATTTTCACTGGAGAAAAAGAAAAAATGTACCAACCAAGCACGTTCTTTTACGTTCTTTACAATGCTTCATTTATGGTATGTTGTGACACATTTTACCTTTATCAAAATTACTGCCTAGCAATTGTATGCCTCTGTGCACCACTTGCACTTACAGTTTTCATCCACGTCTGTGAAAACATGGATGTTTCACACACATCTTCACCCAGCAGCACAGAAGATCTGTACAATCAGCACAGTTTCAAGGTGGGTATCCAAAATGAGTGTCAGCAATTCAGTATCTGACCAAAAGTCTCTCCTTCTGTTCCTGAGAAACTGTATGACACTGAGTAATGGGCAGAAAAGTGTTTTTGCAGAATGCTATGAAGTCACAGTAAAGTTGACCTCTGACATTTTGATATAAGATGTCATCACTTAATTTTATTCTATTAGACATGTGAGAGCTTTTGTCTTAATTAGCATATGAATTCTTGAGTTATGGCCAAAAACATGTTATGTGTGGTCACAGTGACCTTGACCTTTGACCTTCAACCACCAAATTCCAATCAGTTCATTTTTGAGTCCAAGTGGACGT